CCTCTCTCTCCCTCCCTCGCCCTCTCTCTCCCTCCCTCCCTCGCCCTCTCTCTCCCTCTTTCCCTCGCCCTCTCTCTCTCTCCCTCGCCTCCTCTCTCTCTCCCTCTCGTTTGTCTCTCACTTGTCATGTTACCGAGAAACCGCAAAGAAGCGTAAACTCCTCTGTCCTGAAGATGTCGGAAAACTTAAAGTTACAGCTTTACCTCTGACTGTTACAAAGCACTGACACTGGAGACTCCTTCCATAAACGTTGCATTAACGTCTCCTTGCATATCAACGATTACACACGTTTATTTAATCTGCTTATTATCAGTGGAGCATCCGCTGTACACGTCCCTGTGAACGTGCTGTTACTATAGAAACGATAAACGTATTAGAGTGAGTGCATTAATATAAACCTGCACTACTGTCAGAGCTGCTGTTACTGAGAATTAATCAACACCTTCTGACCAATCAGAATCCAGGATTCAACATCACTGTGGAATGATACTGTATTAACACCCCCTTATTAGAGACATGATTATTATTATTATTATTATTATTAGGTGATGAGGGATCCAAACACTAAGAGGTCCAGGGGGTTCGGCTTCGTGACCTACAGCTCGGTGAACGAAGTCGACGCAGCGATGGACGCTCGGCCTCACAAAGTGGACGGGAGAGCCGTCGAGCCCAAAAGAGCCGTCTCACGAGAGGTAAGCCCCTTTAATTACTGCGAATAATAATAATAATAATAATAATAACACGCAGCCCAGCAGAAATCAACTGCTGAAGAAGGTTTAAAGGATTAAAATATTCTATTAAACCCGTAACATCAGTAATACTTTTAGAGAGATGAAGCTTCACTCCTTCTAATGTGTTTAGTTTTTCACATTGAGCTCTATTTAATAAAAAAAAATAAAGCAGCTAAACACATTTTATAATGTCTTTTTTTATTCATTTGTCTGTATTTAATCTATTATTCAACATCTGTGCTATTTTTAATGTCGTGAGAAAACGCCTTTTATCAAGACAAACATTTAAAGATTTATTTAGTAAGAAACAGGAAAACTTTTACAATATCTATCACAAGAAAGTTTAAAGAATTTTGTATATAGAGTCGAAATGTTGCACAGAAATGTTAGATTTTTTTTTTATAAGCTGATTTTTGCATGTTTTGATTAATATCTGTATTTGCCATGAAATAATAAACTGTAATACAAACAAACAATTCTTTCAATGTCTTTTTTAGAATTATTACTTTACTTGTTTTTCTTCTAATAATGTTTAAGTAATTTATATTTAATTACTGTTGATCATGTTATGTCCCTACTTGATTCTTTTTTTTTTTTTTGTATCTCTTTAACTGTCGTCTTTAATTTCCTTCTAAATCACGTAGAGCTGATTTTTATGTATGTAAAGTGCAATTAAAGAATTATTATTTGTTTGTTTGTTTGTTTTAAGGACTCGTGCAGGCCGGGCGCTCACTCCACGGTGAAGAAGATCTTCGTTGGAGGAATCAAAGAGGACACGGACGAGGAGCACCTGCGCGACTACTTCAGCCAGTTCGGGAAAATCGAGGAAGTGAACATCATGACGGAGAAGAACAGCGACAAGAGGAGGGGCTTCGCCTTCGTTACGTTCGATGATCACGACGCCGTGGACAGGATAGTCAGTGAGTGTGTCTCGCTTTCGGAGCACAAACGACTAAAATGTGTGAAGGGGAAGAACGTTATGGGCTGTGTACAGAAAATAGTGTTTCAGTTTATGTTAATTAGGTAGTGATGAGGTAGCTAACGTTATTTATTTATTTATTTATTTATTTATTTATTTATTTTCTCTCTCCTTTTCTAGTTCAGAAGTATCACACGGTGAACGGTCACAACTGTGAAGTGAGGAAAGCGCTTTCCAGAGAAGAGATGAACAGAGTGTCCATGAACAACAGAGGTGAGAGAGAAAGAGAGAGAGATGTTAAGAAAAGAAAGAAAAAAATTAGAAAGAAACGACATTGTTTAAGAG